TAACCATTTTTTGTAAAAACTATATTCATATTTAAACAAATTTATAAAAATGTCGAGTTTTTTTTAATAATATTAAATAGACATCATTTTTTTAAAATTTTTTATAATCGGATACTTTTAATTATATTTCAATTGTATCAATTATTTCATACAAGAATGAAATTTAAAATTTAGAATTATATATTTTCATATTATTTTTAAGCATTAATTATTTACTGTTATAAATTATCCATATTTTTATAAATTTAAATATTATAAAAATGTTTATGTTTTGTCATCGTAATAAATAAAAGATTTGTTGACAAATATCAAAAATCTTTATAAAATTATATATTAAAGAATACATAACAATTTAAAGATATTATAATATATAATGTTTTATATATAACTCTATCAATTATTAAATCAATACATAATAATATACATAAATTTTATTTAAGAATTAGTTTTTTTAAAAAAATAAATAAATTGCACATAATATTTTGATATTTTTATATATTTTGTAATTTAATTAAATATTGTAATCGATTAACAAATTCACCTAATGTTCATACATGATATAATAATTTATTTTAAATTTATTTTAAATATAAATATTCTATTGTTTATTTTTCGTTATGGAAATTGAAGTTTTTATTAATCGTTTCGTGTTTGAAAAAGTATAAACTAACCAATGAATTATTTACTGAATATATTATGTATTTTGTTTCACTCAACAAAATTTTATTATTTATTATAAAAATTTATATTACAAATTTCATTAAAATAATAAATTTATAATTAAATATTTAAGTTGACGGAATTAAATAATATAGTTTAATTTTTTAATTTTATTACAATTAATATAAAATATTATGAAATTTACTTTAAAATATTTGTTATAAACATTAAAAATAAACTAAATTTATGTAATTAAAAACACACAAAAATAAAAACCATCTCGCGGTTATAAATTGTGTTAGTACTCTGAAATTGACTTAGATAAGTCAAGCTTTATTGAAAATGAAAAATGTAGCGAAACATTAATTCCGTCATCAAAACACAACCAAAACACATCAAGTCAATTCCCTAACGGCAAAAGACGCAAGTGTCAAAACTCAGTGTTAAAAGGGTTTTATGAAAGTGCATTATCATTCGTTGTTTGTAAATGTAAACTTAATCAATTCACCAACAATAAATTTGCTCGATTACCTAGTGAAAATAAAATTCAAGCCTGCACGTATAATCGACAAACTTAATTCTGAACACATGTCAAAAATACCAAAAATCATAAGAAACCAATGAACAAGAAAAAACGAATTGAAAAAGTTAAATGTTATTTGGACAATAATATGTGTCTTTTAATTGAATTTTTACATATTTGTTTGTATGAATCCCAATTTAGAATTAATATATTTAAATAATTCCCAAAGATGGATTCTTTGTTTTCATACTATTTTTACATTTTTACATTGTTTTTCATTTTTTGTGTTTGATATAACAATTATTATTTTACAAAATGTTATTCAAAAACAATTTTAAATAACATTTTATTAGCTCCCTTGTTCTATAATTGTCACTTGCAAAAGCCAAAAAAAGAATTTTATGGTCCGTTAAAAAACGTGTAAAAAAATGCCACAAAAAAACAGAAAAAAATAACACAGAAAAACGGAATTGTGCCGACCCATGCTATGAATTTTACTAAAACTACTTTCAGGAAATAACGATAAAAACACAAGAAAAAAATAAGATAATTTGCAACAATTTGTCTTGGATTATTATGTTGGTTAGTAGTGTTTTTGTTTGAACTTTAAATTCGATTGTAATCCATCTCTAATTATTCGACTCTTTTTAATTCTTCTTGTTTTTTTTTGTCAAGTATGTTTCTGTTTTTCGACAATTATTTTTATTTTTATATACAACAACATTATATTACCATTTATTTAAATAAATATATTATTTAAATAATTATTGATAGTAAAAAAATATAATCGATACTAAACACAATCAGTTTAAAAAACCATTTTTCTTAAAACTATTATCAATTGTGTTGTTGTATTTATTAATAATATTATATTCGTTTACTAATAAGTTTTTATTATAATTTTTATATTAAAGT